AATTCAAGGCTACCTCTAAGTCGGTCAATCTTTCAGCAGAGGCAGCCTCACAATCCATTTGGCCTTAGCTTCTTCAAATTGAACCCTCAGTTGGGCGATCTCTTGGCTAAGGGTTTCCACTTCTTGCTCGCTTTGCTGAAAATGAGCCTCTAATATAAAGGTCTCAGTGGCTTTGGCTTCCAGTTTGAGAGGCGAGCGGCACTTTGCTCCCCCTCTGCCAAAAGCTGATCCCGTGCAGAAATAATTTCTTCCTTCTCACGAATCAACCTCTAAAGTCCCTCGGAAGCAAGAAAGTTAGCATACAAAGCAAGAAAGCAAAATTCAGGATATGTTTAGGCAAAAATAGAAGAAATAACAAAGGAAGTAAGGAATGTACTTTTGCGGTGTTGTGCATGGCGTTGTTCAACAAGCACTCTCCCGAGAGTGCCTGAATCTTTTCACAATCTTTCTCTGAAGCCAAAGGCTTCAGATAATTAGCAAGTTCCACCGGCCGAGATAACAAGTTACATCCGGTGGATATTGAAAGAGTAACGTTCCTCCTCCCTAGCGGATCTTCGGAGAGGGTAGCATAATTTCGCCCCAAATTCTCATGAACTGGGGATTGGGGAAGAGGAACGCCTTCTTCTTGGTAAGGTGCGGTCGATGGAGATGATGTAGCAGTTGTTGATGGAAGAGCTGGGGAAGAGGGATATGAAGCTAATGGCGATGAAATATGAGAAGAAGCCGCGACAAACGCAGTGTTAGTTGTTGGATGCTCGCCAACCGAAGACGGCAAGGACCTGGTACTCATCCCCACAGTACCGGACACAGTAATTGAGACCCGAAAATGGGAGTTGGCATTTTCTACCATGTCAATTTCCCCCCAAAGTGCCGAGACATCGTCCTCATTCTGTTGAGTTGATAAGGATCGTCGCCTTCTATGTAGAGAAGCTCCCCCATCACTAGCTTCTCCATCATCTTCGATCATCATGGCATCTATGGCCGGCCCGGGAGGAGAGCTAGTCACCATCACTTCCGGAGATAACTCGGGGGAAACAGTCTTCGCCCTCTTATTCTTTCCCATGGCCCCGGAGGAACACCTTCTTTTTGGTTGCTTGTTCTTCGGCCGGGGACTCTGTAATGAAATACTTGTACCCGAAGCAGGCCCGGAGACACCTGTTCGAGTGAACGCCTCCTGAAGCAGCCTCACCGCATAATTAGGGTCAGCCAAAACATCCTCCTCGGGGACATCAACTGAGCCTGCGGGTAGACCTGATTTCAGAGAAAAGTTGGAAGAAGAGATCAATCAATTTTTTCACGTAAAAAACTGAAACAAGGTGAGTCTGAGTTACCGTGATTTTTGGCCTTCCACCCGTATTTAAGGGCCAGTTCTTTCCACGTACGGGTCTCTGGCGTAGTGACGTCCAAGATTTTTTGGACCTACTAGTCCAAGCCTTCAACCATAGGTAGAACCCATCGAGTTCCTGAAACAAGCGAAGGATGGAGGATCAATACGGATATGGAAGAATCCTTAATAAAAGAAATATGAAATATTAAACAAGAAGCTTACGAGTGCGGTTTCACGCTTCCAGAAAGGATGAAACCGTTGTCGGAATGATGTCGTTGGTGGCAACTGCAACAATCGTTGTCATTATCCATGCTAGAAATAGGGCATGGTGGCCACATTTGCTGAAATTTATCACTCCCCCGCGGAAGATTTTGGGGGAATAGAGATTCATCACATGAGCTAAAGATAGCTCATCTCCCGTCTCTTGGCACAAATACCGAAGACAAGCAATCGTCCTCCACATAGAAGGACTTACTTGTGCCAAACACACCTGGTAGCGGAGGCAGAACTCCACGAAGTCAAGCTCTCCACTCAAAGAGAACGCGCCCAAAGTAAAGGGATACATGCAAAAATATGTAAAACCCTCCTTGTGTAGGGTCACTCGCTTTGTTAGTTCAGGAGCAACAATATCCAAATCATGGAAGCGAGTGTCTTCCTTCACAATAAGAATACTGAAAGGACGGATGGAAAAAGGGTATCTGCCAACAATCCACGTGCGAGGGAGAGCCGAAGGGAATTTCTCTTCGAAGTCTTTTGTTATAACAAGACTTCCTGGAATGATAGAATCCACCGTTGGAGGAGCAGTGTCCTCGGCTTTGTTCTTGCCCTTTGAAGAGCTAACGTTCTTTGAAGAAGAAGCCATTTGGATAAAAGAAAAAGCTTTTCCGTTTGAAGGGAGTTAAAGAAAGGTTAATTAACAACAAGGAAGGTTTTATAAAGTTTGGAAAATTATGGAGTATAAGTAAAAAATTTGGCAGCTAAATTCATGGCTATGATTACCTCGATAATCGGCTAAAGCTATGTTGAATCGTGGGATGACGCGTGTTTAGGGTATTAAATGCGGAGAGGCGTGCGTCTAATCAACCGTCAGAAGCCTTTAGAGGGAATCATAGTAATTTCCGCCAAAATAGTATTTCTACCAACTTCCCGGTAATAAAAAGCTATGTCACCGGAAAGCAGGGGGACTATCTGTACAGGATAAAATTTGTCATGTCAGGTGGCCGTTTAAAAGAATGACACGGGGAACCGAAGCCAACTATCCCATTTAATACCGGAAGGAATGACATTCATAAAGAAGCAATAAGTACCTTCCGCCTGGTGGCATTAATGAAGAATATTCCACAGCATTAAGTACGCTGCCCGTTACAAGGAATTTGACAGTTATGCTCACCGTTATCAATGGCCCTCATAATTGATATTAAAGAAATGTACGATCCTACGACCTCGTTCCCTAGACCTACCTATAAATAGCGAGCTCTTTTATCATTGTGAAGGGAGGAATTTTCTGGCAAACTGATACTACAATCTACTCAAAGCTCTATATAATTTTATCCTCCTATTTTCAGTTCTTATTATTGTTGCACCCGGAGGCTTCACTACCGGAATCTTTATTTCTGTCATTTCGTCTGCATATCAAGGCTAAGTGTTATATATTTCTTAAATTATCTTATTATTTTAGGATCGAATTAATTCACTTATCTAGAAACCACGTATAAATTCAACTGTACCGTTTTACGGATAAAAAATCCATATTTATTTATGGATACAAAGTTGGCTGAACATTTTTAATAACTAGTTTGCTTTTTTAATAACTAGCTTGCTTTGATTTTTTAGTGGTTGAAATCATTTGTTCCTAATGGTTGAAATAGAATTTGTTTCTAATGATGAGACTTTGGATTTAAGAAGTGCATGATCTATCTAGAAAGAATCTCAAAATAATTAAACTGATGAATACATAAGCTGTCCGGCAATTTCATTTAGAAAACTGAACTAAGCTTTAATTTGTTTCTATCAACACCTAAACTCAAACCAAAATGTGTTTATTAAACACGTTTTCAACATGCAACCAAAATATGTAAGCGCGTGATCCTCAAATGCCATGACATGGTAAAGAAGCCAATTAAAAACTGACATCTGGAAAATTAAAATAATATAAAAAACATGACATGGTGATTGCCATGAACCATGGTAATGGCGTTTCTGCCATATGAATAAAGTTGAGAGGTGATAGTTTTCTGCTTGGACGCTTGGGAAGTGTGCTTCAAGGTGAGCAGAATCAGGTGACCGATGTAGTTTGTTGGTGATCCCCAAATCTCAAATAGAAGTCTAATGGAAGTCATGGAATGAGAATAAATTTGTCTCTGGTTAAAAAAGCCAAGAAGAAGAAGGCCTCACGATTTCTTTCCGGCAAGGTTCCGATTTAAAGTGACAAATTTATTCCGAAATTTTTTATTAAAAAATAAAAATAAAAAAAGACCCTCACGTGCTTATGATTAGTGCAGCGCACAGACTTTGCCATATCACCATCATGTGTCTAATAAATATACTTAGGCTTAAGTTCATGTGTTCAATACTATGTACTCAGCCTAATTATTAAACTGAAACAGAGTTTTAGATTAAAGGCATGTTAATGCTTAAAGTTTCTTAACAAATTGAAATTTTCTCTAGAGAGGACGTGTCACATTATTATATCATGTTAAATACACTAAAGCATATATACGTAAAATCTCTGTTTTAAAAGGCAGCATTGGGACTCGCCCGGGGCTCGCCCCGGGGCGGGGCACTCGTAAAACGCCCCTGGACTTATGTGTGGGGCTTAGTTCCGTGAGACTTACGCCTCGGCCACTAGGGCTTACGCCCCGGACACGCCCAACGCCCAGCGTACTGGGCTCGCCTAATACAACATTATGCAATTCTATGTAACTAACCTTGTAAATTCTCATGCTTAATAAATCGTTGACTATTCAAAATTACTTTTTTCTTAATCATAAATCATTAAGTTGAGAGTATTTTATGTCATAATTAAAATAAAAATTATTGCACGTTATGCACTAAGACTGTTATGACAGTTAATTTTAAATAAATCTTCCATTTAAAAGGTATTTATTTATTAACTTTTGCTATGTCTTTACTATATAATAGTCCATAATTTTTTATAATTATTTTTCTAAATATTTTTTCTTCACGTTTACGAGATACAATACTTATTAATTTAATAGCTCAGTATTAGCTAGTAACTATTTACAAATAATTAGTTATCATGGTATTGTATGGTAAATTACGTGTCACTTTATTTACTTGTTGAAACTTAAAAATAAATGATGCTAGAGAATCATATTTAAATTTTGAATTATATTTTTATATAAATTCTCTTTCAAATAGAAAGCATATTAAATAAAAGGAGTATTTTAAGAAAAATATCAAATTATAATATCGAAATTCTTTCATGATTCATTACTCCTTAAGAGATACATATAAGATTTCGTATCGAATACATTACTTTTGATGTTTGAGTTGTAACGACGTTGCAGCTAATTTGCATATTATGATATATGTCATACTTTTCGTATTATTCATAGTTAAATTATAATTTATAAATATTTTAAATAGATTATTTGTTATAATTTTGTGATTTTAATGTAATTTTTATAATTATTTTTTATTTCATACTATCTTAAAATTCTTGAAATCAGTAAAATTTAAAGATCCGTGGTACATACGCCCCATGTTTCAGGGCTTACGCTTCGCCTCGTCAGAGGTAAAACGCCTCGCCTCACGCCCCGCCTTTTAAAACATTGCGTAAAATTCAAACATTATAATAAGAACTTATAAGCACTAAATGGAGGCCTTCATGGAATTGAGATTTTGGTGGGCTCGAAAAGTAATTCGGAAATGCGACTTTTAATCTCAGAATTTTGAATTCCATGTCCATCTCCATGTTGGTATATGCACTGTGCAGTTCTTGTAACATTTACTGCACATCCAATCAATGTTTCAGAAAATAACGAGTTTTCATGTAGACCAGTGTTTATCAGTTTCCACGACTCCTTTATCAAAAGATTAATGTGTTCTCTTGCCTCTTGTTCAGAAGCATCATTTTCGTTCATGTAACATTGAATTGACTTGGGAACATCACCTCTATTCATTTCATCCTGAAGTAAGAGGAAAAAAATTCATTAACTTAAAACTATAATAATCTTTTATCAAATCAGCTCAATTACAACTTTCTATAGCAAACATAATTAATAAGTAAAAAATGGTGAGTGAAAGTAAAAGTCGTCTATGTACACCAAAGAAAAACATTGGATTACGTACGTTCAGAAATAATCAAAGATAAGGTTGAGAAACATACTGATGATGTCCCTAAATCATCGGCAAGACGAATAATTATAGAACAGTGACGAATTATGTCAGGATATTTGCTTAAGGATTCCAATTCCTCTTTCGTAATTGGGTTGGTGACAAAGATGAATGCATGGACTAAATACATAGGAGCTCCAATTGAAATCCATGCAATATCCATATATTCTTTCAGAGTTGGATTATATCCATTGAAGTGCCACTTTGCTTCTTGAAAGGAAGCTTTGCAATAATCTGCCCACTAATAACGTTGTTCCAAATAAATAGATTAATGGTGATGGGGAGGAAGAGAACAGAAGAATGAATAAATTAAAATAGAAATTCAAAGTCTAATTAAGCTTAATTACTGATTTTTGAAGGTAGGGTATGACGTTGATCCCTTGCTCTTTGAGAACTTCATATGCAATGTCAGTGACAGTGTTGAAGAGTACAAGGTAACATACTTTCATATAGTCTGGAACATAGTCAATCGCTTTTAGCTCCATTCTGGAAAATTATTATCGTCAGAAGACATATTTACTTGACAATTAGTTTGAGACGGTGATATATGAAAGTAATAAAGGGGAAGTACATATCCTATTAAATAAATTTATATTCTACAAATTGAAGATATGTGTGTGATCGATGAATTCAAAACAAATTTTCAAGAAATGAAAATTTGAAGTTAATATACGATCATCATTTATTCATTATTTGAGACTTACAATCTAAAATTATAATATTGTACCTTTATACTAGGGTGTGTGCGCGTTCATTGTCACAATCACAAAGTACGTAGTAGTGGGGTGATACTTTGTGTTCAATGACTTAAACTTCCTAGCTCTGCCTCAGAGAAAATTAATCTACTATCCTTAGTTGTATTATACTAGAGCGGATGTAAATGACTGAGAAAACACAATGATAATTCTACATGCAAAAAAATTAGAGATGTAATTGCTTCCTTGAAGTAATAACTTACCTTTCAACAGCATCAGTGAATAGTTCCAACTCATCAAGAGAGCCATAGACATCATAAATATCATCTATGACTACAGCAACAGCATTGATCTTTGTCAACATTCTTCGGCAGTAACTGTATTGAGGTTCAAATATTGTCCCCACTGTCCAAACGAAAGCTTCAACAATTCTATCCCTTGAAAATGGCAATTTTTCTGCAAGGCATGTACTTTTCCACCACCTTTACACAAAATCAATGCAGTACGAGAAATTATACAAAAGTCTTTTTCTATTTGATAGCTTACAAATTGAAATCTCTTTACCAGTATGTAAAAGGAATTTTTTTATTTTTTCAGGTTACTTATAATATCACTTATTATGAATAGTTACTTATAATTATATTTTAAATGACCTAATAGTAAGTGTATAGAAGTTACGCTCTACTATCTCACCTTGAAATATTTTTCAAATCTTCTTGGTGTGTTGCTTGAACAATGTTAAAGTCCAACTTGGCAAGCTCGAGCAAAAGAGGATTAGCATTTGGCATTCTCTCATATATGTTAAGATACCAACTTGTCTCAACTCTCAACATCATCCAATACAAAGGAAGTTCCAGGGCATGGTGTACTAATGCAACTGTCAGATCATTTCCGTCACCATTTTGATTGTTTAGATAATTCTTTAGATGTGACGTTGTGAAACTATTGGCTGACTCCAAAGTTCTTTCAGTTTCGGTAGAGAGAAATGAAGCTTCATATAATTGTAACAGTCCTTTTACATCTTTACAGAGACTTTGCTTGAAGTTACCTTGTTCATCCTTGAAATCTTTGAATTTATCTAAACACGAGAAGAAATATTGGTCAAGTCTAAAAACAATTGATTTCTATATTCTTTTACACTATATATGGCAACATACTAGCAAATAGGTACACCCATTTAACTATATAACTCTATTCTAATACCGAAAACATTTATAAAACAACTTCAATGTAAATCCAGATAAAAGACAACTCGATCGGTCGTATAAATCTTAAGCCCATTTGTTTTTATTGTAATTAAGACGTGTGAATCTAACTACATATTTGATTGTTAAGGTGTTGTACTTAAATCCGAACAATGAATAATTAAGTACGATCATTTTCTCATCATTTAAATGTACTACCTTTACTTGAACACTAATAAGTAGAGATGACTGATAATAATTGACAGTATGGTACTATGGTTGTGCGTCGGAGGCTGGCGGAAGTGGTTGTGATAGGTAGGGCAGTGGTAAAAAGTCACATTCACATAAATCTTTAAATCAATAACATCTTAATCATCATATCATACCATAATATCATCATACTATACTAAAAGTGACATCCTAACTCAAAATTTAATTTACCAAAATATCCTTTAAAATATGTATGACCATTTTACCTTTCAAAAATAATAATTCCTTCAATATTAATGATGTTTAGCTTAAAGTATATATATTTATATGTATATCGCCTCGTGTTTTACTTTTGTTCCGTGGGTTTAGGATGTAAAATAAGTTGATTTATATTAATTTGAGGTGTTTTTATGTGTAGGAATGATCCGGGAGCAATTAGGGGCGAAATGCGCGAAATTAGAGCCAAAACAGACGAAAATATGAAAATTGGAAATTTCAGCGCCTAGCCCTACCTATGGCGCCAGAAACAGTTCACTCCAATGTGGCAGCGCCATTGAGGGCGCCTGGCGCTGGGGAGGGCGCCGATGGCGTGAATCTTGTCCAAATTCGCCCGGGACACGGTTATTTCGACCCTAGACCTACCCAACACGTATAAAAGGAAGACTAAACGTATTTGTGAAGGGGAGACGCCACTTTGGAGGGAGAATACATACGAGAAGCATTCGGGAGCAAGAACATCTCAGATTTCTTCATCTTTTCTTAGTATTTTCAATTATTCAACACTTATGAAATTGTTTGCTATTATCACGAGTGACTAAAAAACTCATAGTTCTGGGTTGTGATTTAGGCATGAATATTGTTGTTTAAGGTTGACTTAACCTTGATTACAATTCACTAATATATGGTTGTTTCTTCAATGCTGTGACTAATTGCTTAATTGTCTGGCCAGCAGTTAGGTTCTATTTACTATCTATGCCAGTGCCCAAAATACCAGACCAGTTGGGGCTCTTCCTAGTGATACTGAGCCCAATCCTAAAGCTCAAGTCAATGAGGTTACCTTGAGAAATGGAAGAGCATTAGAAGAAGTTCCGAAGAAAAAGAAGTATACGGCTAGTCTTGAAGGAGGATTAGTTCCCAAGCTAAATGAGGAGAATGAGAAAGAGAGCAAGGGATCAGAGCCAGTAATTGTGACAAGGCCACCACCTCCGTTTCCACAACGGCTACAGAAGCAGAAAGATGATACTAAGTATAAGAAATTCTTAGATATTTTGAGCCAAGTGCGTGTGAATTTGCCTTTGGTGGAAATTTTGCAGGAAGTGCCTAAGTATGCAAGGTACTTAGAGATATTGTGGCTAACAAGCAAAGACATACAAAGTTTGAAGCAGTTGCACTTATTGAAGAGTGCAGTGCTAGAGTTCGGAGTAAACTTCCTCCTAAGTTGAAGGATCCTGGGTGTTTCACAATTCCTCTATCTCTTGGAAAACAAGAAGTTGGTAGAGCCCTGTGTGATTTAGGGGCTAGTATGAATTTGATGCCATCCTCTTTATTTAAGCAAATCAGATTGGGGGTGCTTAGACCTACTACAATCACTTTACAGTTAGCAGATAGGTCACTAGTTATGCCAGAAGGAATTATTGAGGATGTGTTAGTTCGAGTTGGAAAGTTTATTCTTCCTGCTGATTTTATTGTTCTTGATAACGAGGCGGATGAGAAAGTACCCATTATTTTGGGGAGACCATTCTTAGCTACTGGTGGAGCGAATATTGATGTGAGGGAAGGAAAGTTGAAGATGAGAGTTGACGATGAGGAAATCACTTTAAATATGTACAAGGAACTTAACCTCCCTAAGCATTATGACGACTTGTGCATGATTACTGTGGTAGAATGAAAGAGGATAGTGCAGAGTCCTTATGTGAATTGTAGTGATCCAGATGGGACAACTGAGTTAGAGTGTGTGAAAATGATTGAGAAAAGAGCCAGAGATGAAAGAAAAGACCTTCCGAGAGCGTGCAAAAAGGCTAGACTTCATGGAAGAAAGAAAAAGAGAAAGCGCCCAGCTTGACAGAGTCGTGCCACGACTATAAATAAGGCGCTTGTTGGGAGGCAACCCAACCTGTAGTTTATTTATTTTTTATTTTTTATTTTTATATAGTATCAAGTTTTGTGTTGTTTTTATTTTGCAGAGTAGGGGAAGTCTGAGTACCCGAAGTTGAAGCTGAGGAGCATGTTTGAGCTTAAGTGTGGGGTCGTCTCGACCCTTAATACTAAGGATCATGTGCTAGCTAGTCCTAAGAGGGTCTCAGGGAGTATTTCTCACCCTTGTTTAATATTTTTCTCTGCGATCATACATCGAGGACTATGCATAATATAAGTGTGGGGTGGGAAAACTACTTTCCGAAGTGTAATTGTATAAATTTGTTTTTTTATATTATTAAGTTTTTCTTTTAGAACTCGTAGTAGACATAGTCTAGGTTAAAAAAAAAAGAAAAAAAAAAACAAAAATTGAAAAACAAAGTTTGGAAAAGCTCGGACTTTTCCCGGCGATGGATCTCTTGGATAATTTTCTTGAAGGATAAAGTCCGATTAAAAACGCCAAAAAGATTTTTTAGGATAGTTAGGTAGTATACCTTGATTTTTCTTTGGGCACCAGTTCTTTTCCAAGGGTGTAGCTCGAACCGGGTAATTTATTTTTTTTAAGAGTAGTTTAGGAAGAAACTGAGTTTCTCTGAGATACTCATTGACATGGTTGATGTTGGCACATTCGGCTATAACATAGATTCTGTCTTCCCGTGTATTTAGTTTGAATTGTGACGTCTAAGTAAAGTAAAAATAGCCTATTTTGTGACCCATTTTCTCAGTTGTTTGACTTGTATGCCACATAGTGCAATATTGCTGAATTTTTCAATTATGTGTGCTTGCTTGACTTGAGAGTTGAATAAAACCGTTGTGAGTGAGTCATGTGCAGTGTGTGTGTGAGGATTTGTGATCTTCTGTGCTATCCTATGTAGTCTAGAACTTGCCCCGTGTGTTAATCGAAGCGAAATTGTAAGTTATGCTAATCTAGGAGATGGCGTAGGCGTTTCTTGCTTGGTCATAGATGTGCTTGTCACATAAAAATATCCGTTGCTAGCCCCTTTGAGCCTATAGACCTTTCTTTTGGCAACCACATTACAAGTCATACCCCTATTTTGTTCTTAATTTGAGATTGTTAAACATTTACCTCCTAAGGCAGTTAGTCGCTAAAAGAAGTAAAGTGAGAGGATTGGGGATAAAACCGTGAAAGGGCCCGCTGGTGCACTAAAAATGGAAATCAAAAGCCACTAGCCGATGAACTTCAATGTATGGAGTGTGTGAATACAAAAAAAGAGACAGAAAAAGAAAAATTGCAAGAAAAAAGGAAAAAATTGATAGTGAAAGTATGTAGAAAAATACACACCTCCAATTCTTAATAATTTGTGTTAGTGGGAGTATAGAAGTGCTTAATGAAAGTAAGGGATATGTTGCATATGGGTTGTGGCAAGTGAATTGGTTGAGAAGAATATGAGCTTGAATTGTGAATGTAGTGTATTAAAGTGCTTAGGAGGGTTAGTCACTATTTCTTAATGTATCATACCCGTCCCTTAGCCTACATTACAACCTTAAAGTTCTAATTGATCCTAGATTTGGCTAGCTTAAATTAATAGAGATATACACTACGGGAAAGCTTATGGTACGACCACGGGATGCATATGAATTCGTTGTGAGAGTGAGCGAATTTTGTTCAATTGTGTGATGTCCTTAATCTATATTCAAAAGCATATTTGAATGTGTGGACTAGTATATATTCCCTCTTTCGTTTGTTCGTAATGGCACATGATCTCATGTATCATTGGTGATGTTATAAACTTTCTTGTTGGGTGAGTGCGTGAACTGGGGGTGCTTAGTGGTTACAAGTCGGCTTTTGAGGTTGGGTAGTGACAAATAGGTTGTTGGAATTGATTGAATTGAAATGTTATACTTGGGCATGCTTAAACGGGAAGAATGTGAAATTTTGTATGTTCATGCTTGTGTGCCGGTATTGATCATAGTCAAGGGTAGAGTGTATGGTTAAAGTTGAATTGCTCCTCTATAGTTGAGACTTGTACGTAGCTGGGCTTTATTTGATAGTCCCATTGCTCGAGGACGAGCAAGAGTCTAAGTGTGGGGTGTCGATGTTTAGCTTAAAGCATATATATTTATATGTATATCGCCTCATGTTTTACTTTTGTTTCGTGGATTTAGGATGTAAATGTGTTGATTTATATTAATTTGAGGTGTTTTGATGTTTAGGAATGATCCGGGAGCAATTGGGGGCGAAATACGCAAAATTAGAGCCAAAACGGACGAAAACATGAAAATTGGAAATTGCAGCGCCACAGGCAGCGCCTAGCCCTACCTGTGGCGCCAGAAACAGTGTACTCCAATTTGGCATCGCCATTGATGGTGCCTGGCGCTCGGCAGGGCGCCGGTGGCGTGAATCTTGTCCAAATTCACCCGGGACACGGTTATTTCGCTCCTAGACCTACCCAATACATATAAAAGCAAGACTAAACTTATTTGTGAAGGGGAAACACCACTTTGGAGAGAGAATACACACGAGAAGCACCCGGGAGCAAGAACATCTCAGATTTCTTCATCTTTTCTTAGTATTTTCAATTATTCAACACTTATGAAATTATTTGCTATTATCATGAGTGGCTAAAAACCCATAGTTCTGGGGTTGTGATTTAGCCATGAATATTGTTGTTTAACGTTGACTTAACCTTGATTACAATTCACTAATATATGGTTGTTTTTTCAATGTTGTGACTAATTTCTTAATTGTCTGGCCAGTTGTTAGGTTCTATTTACTATCTATGCTATTCTTGGGAAAGCTGTGTTTGGATTACAGAAGAATTGAAGAGAGCACGATCTTAACTCTTAGGGGGGGGGGGGATTTGTGGTTAGGATAGGAATATACCTAGTCACCGTACTTAATTAAATATCGTAATCTTAATGCGTTCTTAATAGATTGATTTCATAGGAATATAGGCGTTAATCTATTTTGAATAGGCGAGTAGTACTTCAAGAGAAGGCTATGAGAGCAATTATCGATTAATTAGCAATCATGAGTGAATTGTATGAGAGGGAGAGTTAACTAGAACACAATAGGATTGGTGAATCGATCACAACCCTGGAATAATTGTATGAGAGGGAGAGTTAACTAGAAATTAGAACTTTAAAAGTTTTCTTGGAAATTTTATTTGATTTGGTGTTCCATTAGAAGTTCTAGTGTTATTTTGGCGATTTGATCGCGCGAACAAGTTCGTATGATGTTTTAGGACTTGCATGCATGTTTGGTTGGGAGCCCCGAGGGTTCGGGTAAGTTTTGGATAGGCTACGGAGTGGAAATGGACTTGGAAAGATTGCTGGTGTATCTGATCTTGTTGCAGGCCTCTAATCTTGTATTTGCGAGATCAGGCATCGCATTTGCGACTTCTGAGGGGTTCGCATTTGCAATCATGGGTAGTTCCTATGGCTTTATTTGAATCGTTTGGTTGGTAAAAATTTGCTAGATTCTATTGGTCCGGCGGCTTGTTTGAAGGGAAAAGCCGTGGTTGAGCTTTGAGTTTGGCCGCTGGAGCGAGATAAGTGTCGTGGTTAACCTTGGCTTGAGGTATTAGGTCTTAATTGCCTATATGCTACGTGTTTGAATGTTGTGTACAACGTATAGGTGAGGTGACAAGTACCTATGCGTTGTCAGGTCATAGCATGCGAGTGAGTCTTATTCTTGCAATTGTTGCTTTCCGTGATCATATTATCCATGCTTAGACTAGTTAATCAATATGTTGATCGTTCTTATCATGTTTACGGACTTCGGTAATAACTGAGTATTGATTCAAAGTTGAAGTTGGTATTGTGGAACCAAATATCGAAGTAAGACTTGTTCTTGTTATTTCTATCTCCCTATTGTCATTGTTCATTTCCTTATGGTGAGGGAGAGTGTTAATGCACGAAGGGTGATGCCGTGCCATATTGTGAGTGTTAATGCACGAAGGGTGATGTCGTGTCGTGTTGTGAGTGTTAATGCACGAAGGGTGATGCCGTGCCATGTTATGAGAGAGTTAATGCATGAAGGGTGATGCCGTGCTGTTTCTATAGAATTATGGTGAGATTGAGAGTAAAAGCACAAAGCGTGATGCCGTACGTTTTCCTTTACTATGTTTACTTGTTATTATTGGTTCAAGGTATATTGGTTGATCAAGTTCTCATTACTGTCACTACAACATAATGTATTTATAGCTACGAAATCTTAGCTATGAATTTAAAAATCGTGGCTAATACCTAACGATAGCCACAAAAATTAGAATTTCCTGGCTATTTATATATTCGTAAAATTTGCTAGCCATGAAAATTAAATTGGTAAAGCTAATTCCTTATTTTTGCTATAATTGATAACAATGGTAGCAATAACTACCTAAATAGCTACAAATTTATTGCTACAACAAAATTACGCAGCTAATTATAAGTTTTTGTCACGCGTTAAAAGTTATTGTAGCAATAGTAACCTTTTAGCTACAATAAATTATTTACAATAAAATATTGTAGCAAAAGAAATACATTTGCTTCAAGTTATAAAAAAATTGTAGCAATAGGTAAATAATATAGCCACAGATTTATTGCTATGACAAAATAATGTAGCTAATTGTTAGTTTTTGCCACAAACTAAAAGTTAACGTAGCAAAACTATAAAAGTAACCTTTTAACCACAATAAATTATTTAAAATAAAATATTATAGCTAAATAAATAATTTTGCATCATGTCCTGAAAAATTATGGTAATAGTTGGCTTAGTAACCACAATCACATTATTTGTCATTTCTGAGTAATCTAGCCACATATTTATTGATATGATAAAATTTCAAAACTATTTCTTAGCTTTTTCTAAGAGTTGAAACTTGCTATCGTAATAATTACCTTTTGGGCATATTAAATTATCCGGAAAAAAAAATCTTGTAGCTAAATGAGTATTTTTGCTTCAAATTATAAAGAAAATAAAAATAGTTGACTTGAAAAATGAAAATGGTTGCCATGACAAAAATGATAAGTATTTTTGCTCAATTATGAAAAATCATGATCAGAGTTGCCTAACATTAATTATTAGGTGATGAAAAATTAATGTCAAATGTAACAATTATAGTTTTATTGAAAGATAGAAAAAGAGTAATCATATATGATTAAGGAAGAAAGTAGTAATTGTATATGAAATAAAAAATTATTTAACTTTCAAATAAGTAAAATTAAATTCAAAATCAATCTTCAATTTCAAATAGTAGATTATTTGTTACCTGCTTATAGCAGCAAAACTTATCAATTGACTTCTTATAAGACTTATCAAACTAATATTTTATTTGATCGCGCTTATGTAAAATTATAGATTATTATTAATAGTTGTAGATATTATGTATGTCAAGGTATTCATTTTGAAGACTTTAATTTGTTGTAGTATATATGTATATGGTCCTTGATTATTTTTATAGCACTTAATCATATATACTTAAGAAGTCATTTTAAAATAAGTGATCATATATTGAAGAGCTTTCTTGGGGATGGGGGTGCATTTAGTTTTGATAATGGCTAAATGCTCCAGCATATTTAACACTATAAAAAAATAATGATAATCTTAACATCCAAGATCTGCACTCAAGGTGCAACATCAACATCCAAGATCTGCACGCAAGGTGCAGAAGTGCGGTATGAGTACAACCGACCCCATGGGACCCCAACCAAGTATACTAACAAGTATCATAATATAACACGAACTTAGTTGATGCCTCAAATTACATTGAACAACACTAAAACTCGAATCTCACCCCAATTCAAGCCTATTTAAAACTAACAAATTCCAAAGTCTATATTCGATGCCGAAACCTATCAATCTATTCCGATTGACCTCAAATTTTGCAAGCAAACCATAAATGACATAACACAGCTGTTCCAATTTCCAGCATCATATTTCGATCCCGATATCAAAAAGTCAACCTCCCGGTCAAACTTCCAAACTTAAATTTTCTATTTTCGCCATTTCAAGCCTAATTCAGTATTAGTTGTTATATATGTTTTTTATACATATGTTATAATGATATGGATTTACTATATTAATAATTATTAATTATCATAAATTAAATTATACACTGAATTGAAGAAATGAAGAGTTGAAAATTTAATATTATTCTTATATATGAAGGAGATCTTGTCTCTGTTTTGAGTATTATTTGTATTTAAGCATAGTCATATTTTCACTAGTATTACGCTTATTTTTGAGTATAATTTGTATTTAAAAATAGCTACATAAATCTAATTTGTAGACTATTATAAATCTAATTATGATTAGTTGAATTAAGAACTAATAATTTGACACAGTTAATATATAAGTTTAAATTATTTATTATATTAACTTTAAATAATGTTTAATGATTAATAAGATATAAATTAAAATAAATAAATCTAATTACTTGACATCGGATAACAATGTTATATATTGGGAAAATTCTTGTACTATTTTTTTCGTTATAGTTATTAGGCGGGAAAAAGTGAATTCACAATTTGAGAAAGAAAACACAATTTAACAAAAAATGAAAAATCCCTCCAAATTATTTCCTTCTACTTTTTTGTGCCTATTTCCTTATTAGAGGGATTAAAGAGCAAAATTAAAGCAAGATTAGAGAGCCAAACCCTAAAATACTAAAGGGGCCAAAATCTAACGAGCAAAATCTTTTATTACTCTGGAAGCAAAGGTTCCATCTTCTTCCTCTGTCTCAATCCCCAGTTTCAATCTTCAAAAAATTGTTATTTTATTTATTTTGCCGGATTTTAATATTAATTTACAGTTATTCACTTCTCTTGATCTTAGATCACAGGATTCGTTTCTTGGCATGGCAACATGGATAGACGACCGACGATGTCGATGCAACCAGTTGCAGCCATGGGTGTGGATGGGTTTTCTCTACCTGAGCAAGAATACAAATCTGAGCATCCAATTTTTATTTATTTATTTTGCCTTTGCCATTGCTGTAATTTTAGGGATGCGTTTGAATTCTCGGCCTTTATTGTCACACTTCCAGGAAATCTTGTTGCAGTTTCAGCTGTCACTCCATTGCTGCATTTTGTGCTATTAAGGTCGATTCTTTCCCTTTGTTTCTTGTCCCAATTAGTTGGTTATACTTGTTTATAGTGTGAATATGTATATTTAAGTCAGTAACCTATGCCCTGCACAATAGGTGTTTGACAGTAGGTATGACAATTTCTTTTCATTTGAAATGTGTTCTAAAATCGTATTTGTGGTTTTTTGCACCATCATTAATTGAAAACTTCTATATATTTGTGTTTACTTTGATTTTCATAACCTAATTTCTCGTTTGCTTAGCTCTAATCTGAAAGCATTTTTAGTATCACTTCCTTGCATCAGATTAATTGTTGTTCTCTGCTGCCTTTATGAGATCGATATGTGAGATTTTGCGATTATACAATAATATGCCTTTATTGGAGGGAGGGAGGTGTGAGCTCGAGTCGCCCAAGAGCAAGGTAGGGAGTTCTCCTTCGAAGGTCTATCGGAAATAGCCTCTCTACCCCAGGGTAGGGGTAAGGTCTGCATACACACAACCCTGGGTTGTTGGTTGTTGTTGTTGTATGCCTTTATATCGGTAGATAACTTATTTCATATTCGGTGGTTTGAACTTTTGTTGCTTAGTATAATTTTTTAACTAAAGTTGGTTTTGAAAAAAGAGATATATTACATGATATGTGGAGCTTTACATGACTCACGAGTTACTTTCTTCATTTTTTTTAGGTTAGAAGTGTTTGTTAGCGAGTCAAACTACTTTGTGAAGATGACTCTCTCTTGGTTCTGTTTTATTGCAGTAGCTAGCTGGAAAACACAAGTAGTTACTATCACACCTGGACTTCAGCTTGCTTATGGTGTTTGTACTTGAAGGCTTTGTCTTAAAGGTGTAAATTTCATTGTGTTAGTTCTTATCCTTACAAGTGGCAAGCTAAGATCGATGTCGATCAGGCTAAGGTGCAGTTCGAAACGAGGGAGGAGATAAGGAAGAAACTATGTGGCTTTGGGTCTCAAATAGATAGTGTAGTAGAAGAATTGTGTAATGTTAATATTTTGAAATTGAAATATAGAATTATGTGTAATTTGAAACCTGTTTTGGAATCTAAAATATTTGGATTCTTAGCTACGTTATAACGTTCTTGTGAGTAACAATTCTTGGTGCAAATTCTTCAATCTGTACCTATGAGTTTTTGAATTCGCAGCTAAATGTGTATGTAATTGCCACGTTAAAAGGTTATGCTACACATTTGCTCTTTTTGTAGCAAATGAAAATTTTAGCTATGATGTTACATATTTCATAGCTAAAGGTATTGACTCTTAGCTACAATATAAAAATGTTTGTGGCAAATACTTCAATTTATAGCTATAGATTTTTTTTTCATGGTTAAATACGAGTACTATTGCTACGAGACTAAGCTATAGAAATAGCCACAAAATTTTAGTTTGTGTGGCAAACAAATTCAATCTTTTGCTACGATGCAATACCCCGTGGCTACAATATGAAGATAGCTATTAGTTTTGTCTGTCGTGGCAAAAGAATAAAATCACTTGCTATAAGTATATTTTTTGTGGCAAATTCTTTTTACTATCACAACTACAACTCAGAAAAATTTCATAGCAATAAGTATTAGTTCTTAGCCACAAACCATGTAAAGTTTGTAGCTAACTTTTAGTTACGCTACATCTTGCTACGAATGCTACGGAAAAAAATATGGTGGCTAAAGTGTTTAGCCACAGAAATTTTCATATTTAGCTACAATGTATTTCATAGCTGTATATACATAATGTTGTAGTGTGTCGCGATTCTCTATCTTGTAATCCCCTCAGCATGTTTTCCCCTCTCGTTATTACCTGTCTATCTTTTACTTGCCGCTATTTTGTACATATACTGTTAAATTGCACAGGTTTATTTGTGGGTGTCTTATCTTAGCCTCGTCACTACTTCGCCGAGGTAGGCTCGACACTTACCAGTACATGGGGTCTGTTATACTGATACTACACTGCACTGATGTGCAGATTTTGGTATTGGTCCTAGCTGATCGAGAGGTATAGCAGCTCGAACTGGTTCATCGTAGATTCAAGGTAGATCTGTCGGCGTTCGCAGACCTTGAAGTCCCCGTCTATCTTTTCTGTTATTACTGTTTCTTTCACTCAAATAGCTGTATTCCTTTCAGACTTTTATTTGTAGTAAATCCTAGAAGTTCGTGAATTGCGACTCTAGATCCGGGTGGTAGTAAATATGAAAGTTTTTACAATATTCCGCAAACTCTGTTACAGCCTCTGTTTAACTAATTACTTCTGTTATGGTGAGGGAGAGTGTTAATGCACGAAGGGTGATGCCGTGCCATATTGTGAGTGTTAATGTGCGAAGGGTGATATCGTGTCGTGTTGTGAGTGTTAATGCACGAAGGGTAATGCCGTGTCGTGTTATGAGAGAGTTAATGCACGAAGGGTGATTCCGTGCCGAATCTATGGATTATAAGGTGAGGTTGAGAGTAAAAGCACGAAGGGTGATGCCGTACGTTTTCCTTTACTGTTTTTACTTGTTATTATTGGTTCAAAGTATATTGGTTGATCAAGTTCTCATTACTGTTGTGATTCTCTATCTTGTAATCCCCCCAGCATGTTTCCCCCTCCCGTTATTACCTGTCTATCTTTTACTTGCCGTTATTTTGTACATATACTATTAAATTGCACAGGTTTATTTATGGGTGTCTTGTCTTAGCCTCGTCACTACTTCGCCAAGGTTAGGCTCGACACTTACCAGTACATGGGGTCGGTTGTACTGATACTACACTGCACTTTGTGCAGATTTTGGTATTGGTCCTAGCTGATCGAGAGGTATAGCAGCTCGGACTGGTTCATCGAGACTCAAGGTAGATCTGTCGGCGTTCGCAGACCTTGAAGTCCCCGTCTATCTTTTCTGTTATTACTGTTTCTTTCACTCAAACAGCTGTATTCCTTTCAGACTTTTATTTGTAGTAAATCCTAGAAGTTCGTGATTGTGACTCCAGATCCGGGTGGTAGTAAATATGGAAGTTTTTACAATATTCCGCAAATTCTGTTATAGCTTCTGTTTAACTAATTAATTCTGTTATTAAAAGTGTACAAAGGTTGATTTGAAAATTCTCTAACGTTGGCTTTCCTAGCAAGTGAAATGTTACGCGCCATTACGATCCCGAATGTGGGAATTTCGGGTCGTGACACTTCAAGAATGAAACTTAAATGAATAGGGTTTATCAATAAAATTATTTCTTGTTTTCTTTTCAACAAGAAGGCAAAAGTTGCTGCCCTTTACACCCATAAGGAAAAAGTTAAATCAATTAACGTTGAATCGGTTGCTGATTCGATTTACTACTTCATATATTTAGATGAAGCACCAAGGTTCTAGAGATGCTGTTTTGGTTTTGGTGTATATTTATGTTTGCTTCTTTTTCTACCTGGAGGTGAATTTCATTTTTATTGCATTAAAATCTCAGTTCTTTAATTGAATATGGTTAATGTCATATTAGTAGAGTTATTTTTAGTTTAATTGCTACCTTATGGTTTAATAGGAACTTTTTCAAAATGAACCAAGAAATAGCCTCCAGACCAGAGGCGAACCTATATGTTATATGTGGAATCTCCGGACCTCGTAAGCTTCGACAAAAATTTATATGTATATGTATATACCTTACAAATAGTTAATTTAAAGTACTTGGCACCCTGAATACTTAAAGCCTTTAGGAGGCCATTGGTTGAGCAGAATACTTCGCCCCCCTCGTGTAAAAATCCTGGTCCATCTCTATCCCAGACGGCCAAAAGGAGCTTTTCATTTTTTTACATTCGCCAAAAATAATGGGATTAAAGTTTTTCTAAACTATATTACAAATGACATAAAGTCTATTACAGATATATTTTCACAACATTGACATGAAGTCAGTGTTTTGTAGTTTGATGATATCTCATGCCTTTCAGATCCTTGGAGAGAGATTCCAATCATTTTAAGTTCAACATTAGGTCATTAAAATAAGATCACCTTTCAATTACCAAAAAAAAAAAAAATAAGATCACCTTTCATCATTTGAACTTGTGTATTTTTCTTTAAGTTTTGTTTATGCCTCACTCGCATGCTTAGCTTTAATATATTACATTTTTATACTTGAAAAGTTTGTATTATTCAATGTTGGACACACACGCAATGCACATGTACAAATACTAGTAATATTAGTTTTATTTACTAGTACAAATACTAGTAATATTACTATTATTTACCAGATCTAAATGATCTAGACGTATTATGAGCAATTAAGCAGTTACAAATTAAAACAAGAATATACTTAATGGGACCGAGACATGAACAATTAAGATTTATACCTTCAGAAAACAAACGGAGCCTTATTAATATTTCCTTAATTTTGGATGTGGTTTCCAAAGTGTAATGAAACTATATTGTAGTAATGGTAATTGGTCGCAAGTTTTGTGTTAAATCACCAAATATAAAAGTTAACATCAATAGGGTTCACCAAATACATGAAGTTTATAGGTTCGGGATCTAGTCTTTTTAAGTTATTGGATTCAAAATTAATATTTTATACATATTCAATGAATTTTTTAGGACAAATATAGTGTTTAGACCAAAATTACTGGTTCGATCGAACCTGTAATGGTAACACTGGCTCTGTCCCTAAACATGAAAGAAGAAGGAAATAGTTTGGCAAAAGCAGTACCTTGAGAGATATGAAAACCATGTTGTCTCAAGAGTCTAAATTTCAGGGCTGTGGCGTATAATGAATCTCCTGAGGATGCATTTAGATGTATGCTCCTCAAAATTTGCATGATTTCATCGTTGAAGTGGTAACTTACTCCAAGCCTTTGTAAATTATCAATTAGCTCCAACTTATCTAATTCTTCTGATCCCTCATTAATCATTATCATCATCTTCTCCTTCATTTCCTTCTTCAGTTTGTTAAACTGTCTGATATACTTCTCTCCCTACGTAGCACAATTACTAATGATCAGCTCGAATATTCGCATAAACTCTATGCAATTAAGTATTAGTAACAAGAATAACGGCAAAAGAATGAGTGTTAAAAAAAGTAACTTACCACATAATTATTGTGCATGGACTGAAGATATTCAAAATCCCACATGGTAGGTCCGTAATTCCCTGAACGTCTAGTGGGATCTTGATCTGAAGATGAGATAGTAGAATACTGATTAAGTGGTTTCATGCCACCTGCAGCGGCCGTAGAGAGGCAGGCCTTTGATACAAGTGATGGCTTTCCTCGGCTGAAAGAGGAAAAATAGTTAGCCGGAGGTCTTTTCGAGGTGGCCATGAGCAACATTCCTACTTTGGTAAATGTTGCCATATTCGACTTGTCAATGTGTGGTGAGATATATATAACTAGAGCCGATCAAAATGTGCTTGGCCCGTGAGGCCAGCCCCCCGTGAGGCCAGCCCAACCTAGCCCACTATTTGGGTAGGGCTGGGTAGGGATTTTTTTAGCCAATTTAAAACTGAGGCTTATAAGTCCGGTCCAAATCAGCCTGCTGGCCCTTGAGGCTTGACCGAGGCTGGGTCTGGACCAGCCCGTGGGCCAAAAATTAATTATATTCAAATTTAAATATTTAAAAAAAGTAAAAACTAAAAAAAATAGGAACTATAATCCCCATTTTCCAACCTTAGATTGCTCATTTACCTTTCCATATCAACTAGAATTTATATTTTTGATATGCATGTAGTATGACAAGATTAGTTTTTCTTTTGCTTAATTAACAACGAACTAGGAAAGTCTTAAGTGGCCAATAATATTTTTTTCAAAAGAAAAGATTATTTTAAGTGGCCAATGATCAATTTGGTTACTTTAGTATATTATTAATTATTAAATTGCTCTTCAGTATAGAAAAAGGTCAAGTTTTAATACCCAAAAAAAATTGACAATACTAGCAAATATCATGAAGTTTAAAAATTACAGGTACTATATTGATGAAATCGACAAATAATATTAAACCTAAATTAAAAAACTTTAACATATAAGCTTATTGAAGCAATTCCCGAACCTAAGAAAAGTGAAAGAAAAGTACTAAAAAATATTCATGTAACGTTAAAAAAGGAGGAGCTAGAGATATAGAGAATTTGCATTTCAATTACGAGATTCCTTGTCAAATATCAAGATTCTTGTACACTCCAAAATAAACAGAAGTCGTTCATATGATCAAGAGATTATATCACGAAAAAATATCTAAAGATTTGGAGAACTATTTTTTTCTAAAAAAATTGAAGGGCGGGCCCGCCTTAGCTCGCGGCCCTCTTAGGGCTGAGCTGGGCTGGCCATTTTAAGGCCCATATAGATGGAGGGCCGGCCTGCCCTAGTCCACCAAATTTAAAAGCCCACGAGGCTTGGGCTGGGTTGGGCTGGGCTAGCCCGTTTTGACAGCTCTATATATAACGGGAGAAATTAAAAAATAGCCAGATTTACAAGTGGTCATTCAAAAATAGCCACAGTTTCGAAAGTAATTGAAATTTAGCCACTTTTCATGTAAAGATAAATCTGAACGAAAATACTGTTCAAAATCTGGAAAATACTCCAGCATAATATACTGGAGTTCTAGCATAAGTATACTGAAACTTCAGTATATTATAATGGAGTTCCAGCATAAGTATACTGGAACTCCAGCATATTATAATGGAGTTCCAGCATAAGTATACTGAAACTCCACAATAATATACTGGAGTTCCAGTATAATATACCGGTCCAGTATAATATGCTGGAAGTTCATACACAGGTGCTCCAATCTCCAGTATATTATGCTGGAACTTTCTGCATGTTGGAGTTCCAGCATAATATGCTAAGTTCATACATAGGTGCACCGATCTCCAGTATATTATGCTGGACCGGTCCCTGTTGCAGCAAAATAATAGCTACTTTTCAATGACTTTGCAAACACTGGCTATTTTTGAATGACTAATTCGAAAACTGGCTAGCCCATGCTATTTCACCATATATGACGCATGTAATAGCGCTATGTGCTTTTAAATTGGTAGTTGTTAGAATACAATTCAGTAGTCTAATTGGATTTCCCTATAATGGATTTTAGGGGAATTATAACTTCGAGTATTTCAGTATTGCATATACTGGTTTGGCTATGGGTCTAGCTTTATTGTGATTGGACACCATTTTGTTTTTGCCATTTAATATTATCTTCTTGTCCAAACACAGTCCATTTAAAACATATCTTATTAAACATGATTTGATCTTTCATGAATGTTCAATTCAAAAGGCACAGTTTCGTCTTTCACTGTTCCTGCACAACCAAAGGCAAACATAATACATACGTGCCACTCCACAGTGAAGTACATGATTGACTAATTAAGAAGAACATGACTTTTGAAGAAAGTAGTAGAAGATGAATGTTTTTATGTTGGGTTCCAATCACTATACCAACACAGTAGCAAAATGGAGTGGTCTGTTCACATATGCAATAAGTGGAGTGTGGGTCCAAAATATCAAAAACAAATCATCCACCTTGCCCTATTCTTGTCTCCCTTCGTGTATGGGCTATTCCTCCCTTCAAAACCACCCTCCATACTGCATAATCCTAGCTGTACTCTTCCTATTAATTTAATCAAAATCTCTATCTCATAATCCTTTTTGCCTATTTTTCAGAATCACAGAGAAGAAAATCTAATTGCTTGTAGATTTTTTCTTTGCTATAATAATATATTGTGCATATAAAATTATACATACATAAAAATTATAGAATAACTATATGTATAGTTCGATTTTATTGTCGGCACTTTCTCAATTTCTCATGCTTTTTCTGATATGGATAAATAACTTTATTTTTTATTTTTATTAGTTCCAAGCGAATTTTAGTAATCTTGGAAGCACGCTGCAATTTTTTTGGAGTTCTGTGACAATCTGAGATTGTCCATGAATAGATTTAGGGGTAGTTTTGGATTTACTTGGCGCATTATAGATTTTGGAGATCTTTTATTAAATTAGTCCTAGACCCACATTATTTTTTGAACTACTCACTTGAATCCTGAGTAGGAGTATTATATCTAAGAGATAACTATTAAGGGGCTAGACCTGACCTCTAAGATACAATATTACAATTAACAGATTGATGTGGCTCAATCTGTCAAATAGAGCAAAAAGAGGCTATATTAGGGGAGAGAGTTTCCCTATATTATTCTAAACCTCAGATCAGTACGGTAGGCATATAAATTTTATTAAAATTAAATTTATAAAATAATTTAGACTATATTTTAAATTCAAGATATATAGATTTAAATAAATATTATGGGCTAATATAATTGAATTATTTATATAAGTCCAACATATATGGATTAAATAAATAAGTCTTAATTCATTGGGCTACAAGTGATGAGCCCACTTAGTTAAGCCCAAGATGCCATCTTCCTAGAGGCCCAGTTTGGTGCCACATGTCATATGACGTGGCATGCCAAGTTAAACGTAAGAGCCAATAAGATCATGCCACGTGTCAAAATGACAAGGCATGCCAAGTCAAATTAAAGGGCCAATGAAACCGCGCCACTTGTGTAAGTGACATGTTCTGGTCAATCAAATGCGGTCATATCACACTTTAATTTGATTGGTCGGAAAGAGTTTGTTCTTATCATAACTCTTCCCTCCCATAACTATAAAGAGAGGTCTTCATAACCCAGAAAAGACACCAGAAGTTATAACAAGAAGCAAGAGAGAGCTCGTGGATCAAACGCCGTAAATTTCTCTACAAGTTTCAAGCTTCAAGCAATCAAGCTTAAGTTCAAGAAATCGAGTTCAAGCTCAAGAATGAAGAATAAATCAAGTTCAAGCTCAAGAACGAAGAACAAATCAAGTTCAAACTCAAGAACGAGGAACAAATCAAATTCAAGATCAAGCTGGAAGGCCCTTGAATTTATTTACTATTGGAAAGAAGAATCATAGGATTCATAGAGATTGTAACACTCAAATATTCGAAATGAAATACTACGATTGTTGCAATATTTTCGGTCTTGATTTTATTTTCTCGACGCAATTTATTGTCTACAAGTACATCAAAAAAATAATTAACTGACATAGAAGTTAGCTTTGTCATATCTTAGTCTTATGCTGGGAAGCTGAATTTTGTCTAACTGGAAAATTTCGTTAGCTTCTTTAGGCAGGCTATGATAAGATTGATAGAAGGACTCCATAGCTAGGTCAGATGCCTTTGTTGCCATAAAGTCTACAACTTGGTTAGCTTCTCTGTAGCAGTGAGAGATCTGTGTAGTTGCCTGCTCTAGCAACTATAGAGTGCACTCTATAATGGTCTAAAGCTTCAAGTTATTCGTGACTCTATTCCTTAGCATATCCGAGATAATCTTAGAGCCCGGTTCCAGCCAAAGATTGGTATATCCATTAATAATACACCGGTTAATCCCATACATAGCAGCAAAAGCTTTAGCTTCATTGTTACTATTACACTGGACAGGGACTGAGTGTAACGACCCGACTGGTCGTTTTGCTTTTTAGAACCTTGTTACCCTAAATAGGAATTCTGTACTTGCTTCAACTGATTTATGACTTGAGGGATGGTTGGTTCGGGGTTTGGAAGAGTTTGGGTTGAAATCGGAACACTTGGTTCCTTAAGGTTGGCTTAAAAGGCTAAGTTTGACTTCGGTCAATATTTTGAGTAATCCACCTCAGAATCAGGATTTGAAGGTTCCAACAGGTTCGTATGATGATTTCGGACCTGGGCGTATGTCCGGATCGGGTTTTGGATGATCCGAGAGCGTTTTGGCGCGTAATAGTAAAAGTTGGTTCCTTAAGGATTTTGAAGTTCTTAAATATTTGGTTTGGAGCGGGTTTCTGTGTTATCGAGCTCCGAACAGAATTTCGAGACCGGTAATAGTTCCGTATTGTCATTTAAGACTTGCACGCAAAATTTGGTGTCAATCCGAGTAGTATAAGTGTGTTTCGTCGCATTGGATGTGAATTGAAGAACTTGAAGTTCATATGTTTGATTCAATTGGTTTTTGAGGGTAATTCTTAGATTTAGCGTTGTTTCGGGCGTTCCAGGGGTTTGAGCAAGTCCGTTTTATGATTTCAAACTTTTTAGTATATTCGGGCGGTGCTCGGGTGCCCCGAGCGTCAATCGAACGAAGCTCGAGTTGAGTTAGGAAATTTTGGAAGGAGCTGAAGCTCCAGGTTGCTGTCATAAGCGCACCTGCGGTTGGACAGCCGCAGGTGCGAGACAGCAGAAGTGGTTGAGCCTTTGAGGGTGCGGCCAATGGGAGGAACCCAGGAACCACAGATGCGGCTCCTCTTCCGCAGAAGCGGTCCTTGCCAGCCCGGTCCAATTCCGCAGATGCGGACCTT